AAGAACTATAAACACTTGTGCTGAACTAGATGGGCGTTTGATAAGCTGAGCTGCACGGAGCAAGCTTGCGGGATCTCTAGTTAACACTCAGATTCGGTGTTAACACTTAACAGAACAGTGGCGAGCCCTGTTGCCAAGGTCAACAGCACAGATGCACTAATTGTATTATGAGCTTGACATCTAGTGGCCACCCCTGGCAGGTCAAAGCAGGCAAAGGTTAAATCAGCAAGGCTTGTCAAAGCTCTCCTAACTACCCACCTTCAGGGAGAGTCGCCGATGCTGGCCCACCTTTTCACAGACATCAGACAAAAAGGCTTTCTAGCTGAGCCGGCTGCTAATGCTTGCAGAGAATGCAAAGGGGGTAGAGATTTCAGATGGTAAGCATAACTAATCTGAAGGTGATTGAAAAAGACAGGCCCACAGAGGAAAATATTTAGACACCACACTGGCATCGGCAGACCCTGTTGGTGGACACTGTCTCAGTCTTGAGAACTCTTCCCTTTAATTAAGAAACAAATCAATCTTAATCTCTAACATAAACAGACTATTCCACTATTTTATTACAATTAATATTTTTTACTTTCTATAACTTGGCTTGTTTGCACGGAAATTACACAGTTAACTGCACTTTAAATCATAATCGTTGAAGTTACAAGAAAAATCTAAGATGAGATAAAAACAAAAGTTGGCTTAAAGTAATAGTAAAATACTCCGTTTTTACAAAAATTTGATTTTATATGAAATGTGTAGTAAGTTAACATATACTGTAATTACAAATCTGCTCCCCCAGTAGTGGAATTAGCTCACATCTTTATGAGACAAAGATATGTCAGTCTTAATTCTGGCAACTATTCAAGAAATCATGTAGGTAAATAAAAGTAATAAAAAACAATTAAAAAAACCTTCCCATTATATTATTTTAAAAGTATGCTTCTAGAAACTATTTTGCAGCATTAAAAGATGGCCCGTAACCTCATTAGCAGTTAAAAAGATTTTTATTTTCCTTGAATAAAAGACTGTGTTAATAACTTAAGAATGCTAAGTTCCAACTAATGGTCAGTACATAGAAATCTTTTTTGTATCTTTGCCGAATCCCCCCAAAAGAAAATGTTCTTAAGGCTACCTGAAGATGAATGGCAAAGCTTCTTAGAGATTGTAGTTGAAAATGAAATTTGACCCACTTTTCCCATCATCTTGTATACAAAAAATAATCAGCTTGCTAAGTAATTCCTGCTGTTACTCCATACCTCCTTCTTCTGGCTCTGAACAGATCTAAAAATATTGGATTATACATATGGAAGTTTAAAATTTATTGTACATACAAATTCCCTAACTCTGTTACATAATCAGCTCTCTGAGGGTAGGAATTAATTGGCATGTTTTTTTGTTCATCACTGAAATGTGCATTTTAAAACAGGCCAACATTTTAAACATTATTTTTAAAAGAAATGTTTGCAAATACTTCTCCTTTTTTCACCCTGGTTACTTACTTTTTTACCTTTCACGTTTCAGAGAAAACAATCTGCCTGTGACTGTTAAAAAGTGGCTTCTGCATTGTCTCTTTGGCATGCTGAATTGTAAATGTGTAGAGCTGAAGGCAAGCCATGCAGATAGAGATAAAAGAGAAAGATCCTTCAGCGAGTGCTGGTGGCCTTCCCTTAATTTAAACACAGTCTGTGAATACCACTGGTAAATTCTTAAATCACATGCTCACCAAATTTAAAAGGATTTTTAAGATAGCCATATACTATAGGTTGGCAGAAGATAAAAACACACTTTGAAGCAATTAGTGCTAACAAACAAAATACAGGATGGTAAATTGTTTTAAATTATAATATCCCTTTGTTCTTTCTTAAATACAAGTTTTCTAAGGACAGTAAAACACATCTTTCTTAAATTACGTTTTATATGATAAAGAATGGTGATATTAAAATTTTTTAAGTTTTTAGTGGGAGTACAACTCTCACTGGAAGTTTTAATTAATTTTACTCAGAACAAAAATATCCAGCTAAAGGATTTCATTTTGGTGGCAGAAACTTAACTGAATCACAAGCTGCAACATACTTCTAAAATAGGAATGAAATACTTTGGAAATTAGTAACTTCAAAATGTGAGTCTCAATGATCCTTAAATTTTTACAAAAGGATAACTGTAAAACTTCACATAAATCATCCTAACTCTCATTTTACAAATGTCATATTTCATTCCTATAGTGATAAGGTCTGGATAGCACCAAAGCTATTTTTGTGTAGTATCTTTTCATTGCTTACCTAAAAACAAAAGCCTGAAAAAAAATCATAGTTCTTTTTAAAGAAATATATGCCTTTTCCTGTGAATAAAGTGACTGCATATTTGCCTCCCCTAAACAATTTTGCATATAATACTTGCTCTTCATGACATTAGCAACTGCTTTCAATTTTACTGCACCTAGGTGGACCTATTGCTTTAATTAATATGTCACGCCCAAAGTGGTACAAAGGAATTATTCAGTTCGTTCCTAAGACACTGTAAGCTAACTTAGTTCATTTACAGCCTCATGCATGGTCAGTTTATTTCCATTGCATTTAACAAAATTAAAATTTTAGGAGCTCTGATTCAGGTTGGATAATTTAGTTTCCACAACCATTTATCTTTAAAGAAACATTTTACTTATTTATCCTGGTAACAATGAGAACCGCAGAGTAATATACATGTGAGCATTCCTTAACTTAGCAGGGAACAGAGTATCTTTTATGTTCCATGAACAATCTGCTTCAGAATAATTAAATCAGAAAGAACTTTAAAAAGATAGTTTGCCTAAACTCTCCTTAAAACAAGGGTGGAAACACATTACTTAAGACTCTCCCCCCAGATAGGCTATTTTTGGCCTGTTGCAAAATATGATCAGGAACTGTGGCAATATCTTGATTACAACTCTGGACTGTGAAAAAATACAGGCTCGACACCAACTTTAATTCTAGTACGAGTGAAAACCCTGAATATGTTGCATCTCTAAATAAATTCGAGCAACAACAAGGGGAATTCAAAATAGAACTTGTAAATAATTTACTCCCTCTTAGGTTTTCAAACATAGGCTCTCCATATAGCCCTCCACATGTTTACACTATTGAGTTCAGCGTGCTCACATTTCTGAAGTGAAATTAAAAATGAATAGCAGTGCCTCAGCTTGTTAATTGTTAAATACAAGGGGTTTTACTCTATTAATTAAAATATGCTTTAATAAAAGGAGACATTGCACATTTTGATAACGACCCGACAAAGCTGAGAAGTATTTACATTGTTGCATTTTGGGGCGGCTGTGAAAGCCGATTTTAAGCTATTCAGGAGCCACCATAATAAAGCTTTAACATTCCTCACTGGGACGCAATGTAGTTCTTTTGAAGGAAAGACTGTCTTTCTCATTCGGCAGAAATAAATCCATTCATTTGATCATGTAGTCATTGAGGGCAATACAAAACAAACCAAGTGTGAGAAATTCTATGTGATGAAGTAAACAAAACAAAAAAAAAATCCATTTCCATGACAAAAAGATTCTTTGTCCTTAATCTACCCACCATATGCAAGCGTTTCTTTTTAGCATATCTCCGGTTCTAATCTCGGCTGACTCGGCTGCACAGATAAGGCGCCCTCACCTCCACGGCCACAAAAAGACCCCAACGAGTTCCCCGATGTTATTTAATTCCCCAGTTCCCCGGCCGTGCCGGGAACATTTTCTTGTTTCCTCCACTCCACCGGTACATACCTGCTTCGCCAAACTTTACAACACTGTGAAAAACTCAACTCCTGTTCCTTCCAGACGTTCTGCTCCGAGAGAAAAGATCACTCTCAGCTCTACACAACTCACAACACGTTAATCACGCAAGTCGGCCACCCTATTGTTTTTTAGGAACGCATTATATTCCCCGCGCGCTCTGCCGCAGGCTCGGGGTCCCCGCGCCCCCGGACCCCCCAGCGGGGCGCGCCGACCCGGGCGCCGAGTGCCTGGGCTTTACCCAGACGAAGCAGATTCGGGGTGCCCTAAACTTCAGGGTGCTACAGCTCAGGTTCCGAGAGTCCGAATCGTCCCCAGGCTCTAACTTTGGCGGCGCCGGCCGTTCGTTTTTGGATGTGTTCAGGAGAAAGTTCCTACCAGCGAAATGACTGCAAAGGCGCCTCCTGCGCCGGATTTCGGCGTATCCCAGAGAACACGAAAAGGCCTAAGGAAAAACTTGAAACGCACCACTAACGTGCTGGGGCTCTCTTTCGCGTAAAGACCAGCCCCCCAGCGCCACAGCTGTCCTCCCCCGGCCCAATTCCCAAGTCGGCCATTAAGGAAAGGCCAAGAGACATTTACTTTCCACTCGCTTCGGAACGGGATCGTTGGATTTGCCCACGCGCTAGGACATGGCGAGGCTCGCAGCCCGCGGGTCACCAGAGGCGGCCGGGTGGGGGGGCACAGGTGGGGTTGGGGAGGCGGCGTGGGCCCCAGGGCCGGCTCCGAGCGCGCACTACCTGGGGCGCCGGGACTCGCTGCTCGGAACAAAGCTGGGCAGGCGGCGATCTGCTCGGCCCTCGTCCAGCGGTAGGTGAGCTCTGGACGCGTTCCCCGCCGGAATGCTAGCCTGGGGATCGCCAAGGCCGGCCTCAGTGTCCCATCGCGGAGAACCGGGGTGGGGGGCTCTGGGGCACCGGCTTGGGAACCCCCTCCTGCCGCGAGCTCCGCGCGGTCCCCGAGCCGGCCCTGGCCCGGGCGCCTGCTCTCCCAGCTCCCCAACTCCGAGGAGCGGAGCCAAGTTTACTTCGCCCACAACTCTTTCCGCGGCCGCGCGCGCTCGGGCAGGGGATCCGAGTCCCCGCGGTTGGCCTGGCCCGGGGACCAGGCGCGGCGCGGGCACTTGCTCGCGGGAAACAGAGAACTTTTTTTCTCATCCCGCGACGCGCGCAGCCGATCCCGCCTCCCGCGCTCCCCCAGCTCCGGTGCGCGCCCCAGACCCCCAACCACTCGAGGTCCTAGCCCTCACCGTGCTCGGGAGCCCCGTCCGGCGGCGGCAGCTCCTCGTCCGACTTGAGGTGCTGTGGCTTGGCCTGCTTGCGCCGAGACATGCTGCTAGCGGCGCTCCGGCCCTGCGCAGGGCAACAGCATCAGCGGGGAGGCCGGCGGGGACGGCGCGGGGCGGGCG